GGAAATAAAAGAGGAGCTTATACCAAGGGCTCAAGTAGAAAAAGTTTTGCAAATGATGATGGCAACATATATCCAAATATGCTTGATACAATTGATATATGGAATGTTCTAAGAGCTGTAAGAGCCCACAATAAAAGGATTTTTAAAAATAATTATAAACAAATAAACGTAATAACTTTTAATATTGTACCACTATGAAGAAAAAAGATATATTCATTTAAATACTCTATGATAGCATATATATATATGCTATACGTATAGCATATATATGGTATATATATACCATATATATGCTATACGTATAGCATATATATATATGCTATCATAGAGTATTTAAATGAATATATCTTTTTTCTTCATAGTGGTACAATATTAAAAGTTATTACGTTTATTTGTTTATAATTATTTTTAAAAATCCTTTTATTGTGGGCTCTTACAGCTCTTAGAACATTCCATATATCAATTGTATCAAGCATATTTGGATATATGTTGCCATCATCATTTGCAAAACTTTTTCTACTTGAGCCCTTGGTATAAGCTCCTCTTTTATTTCCCTCCCTTCCTCACCCTTCCACCCTCATGAATCCTTGATCAATTATATATTGTTATTATGATTTCATATCTTACACTGTCAATTGTATTAACAATATATAGCTGCAAAACCATATTTTTATATTGCTTTATCAAATGAAATGTAAGAGATAATCTTAGGGCATTCATTTTTTTCTGAGGGGGGGGCATTCATTTTAAAGTCAAACATCAAAAGAACATTTCAAGCTCACTCTCCCTCACTACCGTCAAGTCAATTCCAACTCGCAGCATCCCGTCAGAATAGAGCAGGATTGCACCTTTGGACGCCAGAGACTGCAACTTTGACAGAGGCAGGAAGTTTCCACTTTTCTCCAGGGACCAGCTAGCGGTTTCATACAGAGATTTGCAATGAGCAGATGAACACATGACCTGCTACGCCAGCTGACCCACTCAGGCAAAGCTGCCAAATGTAAGTACAGAGTGCAGATAAGGTGGATAGTCACAATGAGTATGCCTGTTTATGTTTTCCAGGTATTTGCTGCTACCCACATGTTTGGATATATGTGGTATTTGTGCTGACAATGACTTTAATGTACTGTATTGGAGCTACTTTCTACATTTTTCAAAGGAAAAAAAAAGTAAGTTTAATTATTCTCTGCCAATGACTGAGAGTGTGGGTAAATCAGATCCCTTTGTATGCACTAAGCCCATTTACACCTTGACATTTTTAATTAGGACTGGGATACAGAGGAAAGCACACATTTATTTCATAAAATACTGGAAAAATGATTTTAAAATTTAATGTAATTTTTACACATTTTTCCAAGTCCCTTTATTTATGTATTTTGTGCAACACAAGCATAACAAATCAAGGGAAAAATACTCATAATAATGAGTCCTTATTTTGACCCCACATAGTTGCAAATATTTAGAACCATATTCTTCTACCACCCTACACAGTCGCTTTGCTCTCAGCAAGTACCTCTGTGGATAGTAATTCTCTGGCTCCCAGGAAGAAACCATCCTTCAATCTGGAAGGGTCTGGGCCATTAGAAGTCATGTCGGATTGTATTGCTACAATTGTCCATTGACTTCCATCACAAGGCAGGGTAGTACTAAGAGACATCCTAAGGGATTTCCAGAGCACAGACACACTCTTTTTTATCTTCAATATGTAATATCACTCTGAGTTCCCTTTTTTGTGTGTCTTGATACAGGGATATATAGTACCTGAAGTAGCCAGGTATCATTTCCAATTTCTAGTTCAATAGATTTACTATTGTTTCTCCTGGTGGGATGATACCTCTATTTGGAACAAAGACCTTTAAACCCACAGAATATAGGATTATGTGATAGGAGGACATTTTTGTTTTTGTTTTTTTGTGAGTACAACACTAAGGGTAAAAGTGAGGGTGCTACTCCCAACTCCACATCTTGTTTCCATGGCCCTTGGTTGCTGCCAATGGGGCTAACAGCACCTTACATTGGGTCCAAGAATATAAAGCCTCCTGAGGATCAATGTCCCAGCCTTGCAAAGTATTACCTACAAGACAGCATAATTCCATTCTTCTGCTTCAAGATGATGAAGAACATGATTAAAACAATGAATTCCGTATAAACTGGAAGTGAGAGGAATGAGTTCAGGCCCTGCTGTTTGTGCACCACAAACAGCACCAAAATGATGGATTCTGTCAATTGATGGGATTTTGGCAGAGGTGCTGTGTGTAGAGAGGGAAAGTCTATACCCAGAGTTAGTATTTACCTCAGTAAGAACAGTATGCTGCCTTGTTTATGATACAAATGATTCGATGTAATCAAGCAAGCACCAGGATGCCAGCTGATCCCTCGAAGGAGTGGTGCCTTATTGGGACTCAGTTTTTGTCTCTGATGCTGGTAGAGGGAGCACTCAGCAAAGATTAGTCAAGTAAGAACGCTTAATAGAATTGTGTGTTATTGAGCCCATGCATGACCATGCCCGACACCATAGACATGGGGCAAGGACAGGAGTGGCTGGAGAAAGCAGCTGACTGGGACCCATCATCCTTTACAATCCTCCCATGCTGAGGTCATCCTTAGGACTACATTCTCCAGACACAAATATCTTTACTTTCATGGTCTATTCAGAAAACACTACATATCTTTTCTCCATGCCAGTTTTTCATGAACGTTCTTATCTTGTTCCTTCAAAGTCCCTGACCATTCACTCAAAGCATGAATTCAGCCCAGGAATCAGTATATAATTGCATTGTGGACATTTTTCCTTCCAAGATAAGGAAAAAATGGGTGCTCGAAATTTTCCCACTGAAGTATTTCCCTTCACTGATGTTTTACAACGAGATCCCAGAAAAGTATTAAAGTGTTGTCACTGTTCACTTTCAGGTGGTGACAGCATATCATGCAGAACCTCTATGAAACGTGCTCAAGTGATTTCTTCTTTGATTAAATGATGGTGAGGCACTCCAGTAATGGCATAGGTGCAGACTGTAAGAGGGAAGGGCATCAACAGAGGTGGAGAGCAGGTACACTGGGGTCACTGCTTCAGGGAACACACTTGTGCCTTCAGGTTCTGCTCAAGACCAATCTCATTTTCATGACTTCCATCTAATAATCTAGTGCTGCTTTGCACACCCAATGTTATGACTCTGTGGTAAAGACTACACCTATTTCAGGACTGGAAAATTTATTGGTCCATGTTCAGGGGTTCAACCTCTGCAAGGCCTAGTAATAGGCAAACAACTATTGTTCAAAAGGAAATACGGCAATCTCTTGATGATGATAGAGGTTTTCTGCAGAATCCTAAGTATGCTCTGTTATTCACCAATAGTTCTCTGCCACAAACTACAAGGAACAGCTGTATATGCTGTTGTCACCCCAAATTACCATCAGAACTTGTGTTAGTCTGGGTTGACTATAGAAACAAATTCAGAGACACTCATATGTGTATAAGAGAGCTCTTTATATCAAAGAGAAATTGTATATTAAGAAAACATCCAGCCCAGTCCACATCAAGTCCATAGATTCAATATTAGCCCATATGGCCAATAGCAGTCAAAAAGTTTCTTTTCAGACTCACCCAACACATGCAATGATACAGAATTCAAGAAGATCACAGGCCAGTGGGTGGAAAGTCTTGTGAATCCAGTGGTTGTAAAAGCATCACAGTGCTGGCATGGGTCTCCACCTGGCTCCTCCAGCTCCAGGACTCTGGATGCCATCAGTGTCAGTGTGGCTCCATGTGGCTTCTCATCAGGAATGTTTAGCAGAGAGAGAGTATGTCCTCCTCCCTAGAGAAAAAGAGGAAGTTTCAAGAAACCTCCCGGTGGGTGTTACCCTGTGGCCTGATTGACAGGTTAGACTCCACACCTTCGCTCAAGTTGATGGGAGATTATGTAACTGCCACAGACCACTCCACTCTTTTACATAACTCTTTAGCCATATGTAATTTTTAAACAAAACATTAATAATATCACATCTGTACCTAACAGGATAAACTAAAATGCATACAATTCAATATGTGCCAACCTCATTTAAACATAATATTCCCTAAATGAACAAACAAAAATATTCTACACCTCGTGCTAACAAACCCCAGGACAAGGGAACAACAAGTGATCCAAATCGGTGGTGAGGAGAGTGTAGGATTCCTGGTAGGGCATGATCAAGGGTAATGTAACCAAGAGGAATTACTGAAACCCAAATGAAGATTGAGCATGATAGTGGGACAGGAGGAAAGTCAAA